AAGAACTTTTTTTAGTCAAACAATCTTACGACTATCGCACGTCTGTCCTACAACTGTCTCACGGCTGTCGCAGGACAGTCGTGAGACAGTTGCAAGATTGTCTCACGAATATTATATTTCGTAAGAGGCTCGCACAACATTGCAAGTCTGTCGTGCGTTAGTCTTGCGTTAGTCTTGCAACATATTTTCGTTTTTTGAGGGGTATATAGCTCGGGCGAATGAACGCTTGGAATTAAAAACTGCCTGTCGGCACTGAAAGAGGATGGCTATTCCACCTGAGCGACTACGCGTGGCCCTGCTGAGGGGGCGTCTGGAGGAACTCCAGCACGAGCATAATATAGTGCTGTTGGCGTTGATCTGGGCCCGGGAGCAACGCAGGAACCGGCAAAACCCCCGACGTTGGTGGGTTCGGCCGTGGATCGAGCGGCGCCTGATGTTTGGGCAGTATAGTACTCTGATGCAAGAGTTGGAGCGGGAATCTGCCGGTGACTTTGTGGGGTTCATGCGGATGGAGTGTGGCATGTTTCACGAGCTGTTGCTGAGTGTCGCCCCTCGCATTACCAAGGGCCAACTGCTAGGCTTACCACCTTTCTCTTGTTGGTTTTCTTCTTGAGAGGCATCCTGGATACTAACTTTGATTAAATGAAGTGACAAATGTCAAAAATTCGGGCAGAACTTCGATGTATCCACTGGAAAATCTCTGCAGCAAATGGCAGGCAACAGACCGGGCCTCGTTATATAGTCGGAAGACGGACGCGCGAGTAACCCACGAGTGACTCACGAGTGACTCACGAGTGACCCACGACTGTTGTGCGCCAGTTGCACGACTGTAGCACGTGCATCCCACGAGTGAACCACGACCTGTTCACGTGAAAAACAGCCCCCCGACAATGCCCGACAACTCACGACTGACGCACGACTGACTTGCGACACACCCACGACATAACCACGACATAACCACGACATATCTTTTTTTTCTGTCGCGTCCCCATCGCCAAACCATCTTTGATGTGTCGTAGCCCTTGTGACCACTCGAAATACATTTCGGGCATGTTGCAAGATCTGGCCACGACAAATATTTTATGGGTCCACCCCGACAAAATTTCGTACAATCCGTTGTGACCGGGGCTTTAGAAGCAACGCGTACTCATCGCTACCTACCTTCGCAGTATTTTTGAAGTCGTTGTACTCCTTGAAGAGCTCCTCGCTTTCCTCTCGGCTCTCGCCGACAGTTGTGTGGGTGGACAAGTAGAACTCGCCCGTGTCATGAATCCACTCCAGCGCCTGGCGTGCACGCGAGATAAGTACGGAAGAGATTGTTAGGCGTGCAAGGACATCCCAGCGGCGACTCCAGCTGTCGCTTTGCCTGTGCTCTTAATGTCATCTGAGGTAACATCTCAGCAGGAGCAGTGAACTGCTGTTCGGTGCGTGGAATGTTACTACTGTGACAACCTCGTATTGTAGTGCATGAGCCTCATATCCTATACTGGCATTGTTACAAACAGACGGACTAATTGTATCTACCATGCTTGCAGGAACGGGCACGTCATATTATTTGCTGCCAACACATTTCAAATTGCACAATTAACAATTTAAAATAGTTGGCCTAGAGGTGAGAATGCAACGGATAAAGCTTACCTGTTTAGCGCTGCGCTCAAATAGCACAAATTGCTGGCATTGGTCAAGTTTTTTCTTCTTGACCGTCCAGTTTTCTAAAACTTTGTTCTCCTGTTCAAGAAGCCACTCAAGGGTAGCTGCAAAAACAAGCAGAAACTAATGGTAATATAAAGATGTATGTTCGTACAGAATTTCAGGAACAGTATAAATTTATGTAAACAAACGTATAAAACAAATTCATAGTAAACACTTTATACAACTAGAACTGGAAGTTGTCGCCAACTACATGTATCCCCCGCAATCTAGTATGAATGAAATATCTCTGTATTCCAACATCAACGCCGTACCTTCAACCTTTTAATGTTGCTGGGTAGCAGGCGCTAGGTCAATCAGGGGCCGAGTTATAGAATGGAAGGGAAATATGATCAATTTCAAGGTCAAGGTCAAATAAAGGTCGCAGTGACCTGGTTTTGGTATGCGACACACCTTCTCCCCAAGATGTGTAAGTATACCAAGTTTGCTCGCGCTAGGTCAATTAGGGGCCGAGTTATAGAGCGGAAGAAAAATATGATCAAGGTCAAGGTCAAGGTCAAGGTCAAGGTCAAATAAACGTCGCAGTGACCTAGTTTTGGTACGCGACACACCTTCTCCCCAAGATGTGTAGTAAGTATACCAAGTTTGGTCGCGCTAGGTCAATTAAGGGTCGAGTTATAGAGCGGAAGGGAAAGTATATGCGGCGGCAGCGGCGAGCGGCGGCGGCGGCTGGACAGACATGAAACCATAGTATCCCCGCCGACTTCGTCGCGGGGGATACAATTATGATTTTCAAGCTAAGTTCATTTGGATAATCCTATTTGTTGAAGGTTTGTTTGCACTATAGTTTTTTCTGAATAACTAAATGAATCTGGGGGCCATTTCACGAAAGCGCTTGTTAAGTTAGTGATGGGTTAAAGAGGGGTTTTAGGATATCCTTATATATAGTGTTTCACGAAATCCTCGCTAAGTTTCCCTGTCTCGCTAACTCAACGACATTGCTATTAAGAAGGAATCTTAAGGACAGGTCAGGGGCAGTACTTAGGCTATCGTACAGCAAGCAACGTGAGATTTCCCGCGTGCTTTCATTGTTTTGGCAAGCCGTNCACGCCACCACTACACACACACACACACACACACACACACACACACACACACACACACACACACACACACACACACAGCTGGGTACGTTTAGAGATGACTCAAAGTCACGCGGCTGCCATTCAAAAGCCAAGCCTTAAAACTCGTTAGCGCGAAGAAAAACTATAGTTCAACACTTTGCGCATCGCATCTGTGTGTAACAACCCCGTTTCGCTTGGCATTCACAGGTCTGCACCGAAGCTGAAGAGCAAGATGAAGAAGCTAAAATATTCAGAATTCAGAGGTAAGATGGCGGCCCGATCGATAATAAGAAGCCACTGAATATCACGATGTGACGATTCCAAATAACATAATATAAATAACATTTGATAACACTTTCACTTGGCTTCATCGCTATACTTCTTCTACGGGTTCATATAAATTAATATAGCAGGAAACATTAGAAGAATAGGTGATAGTCGCCCCCCCCCCAATTCGTTTGCTTGATGGAAATTCCGATATCGGTCTTCATAGCGTTTACATTTGCTGCGCGAGAGCAATTTCTCTGACGTCGTCCGTTGCCAGGGCGACAGGTGTTCGGAGTTCCTCTCGCTATTGTCCAGCAGCAGCAACTAGGTCAGCCGCTGCCACGCTGCATCCTCTCGGCGATGCGCCACCTGGTGACCAACGAGCTCGACTGTGATGGTCTGTTTCGCAAGCCGGGCGTTCGCTCACACATACAGCGGCTGCATTGCGCCATCGAGGCAAACCCAGGTATCGATGGCATTCTACACACACACACACACACACACACACACACGCACGCGCACGCGCACACGCATGCGCACATGTACACGCACACGCACGCGCACGCGCACACGCACACGTACACGCACACGCACACGCACACACGCACGCACACACACACACACACACACACACACACACACACACACGCACGCGCGCGCGCGCGGGCACGTACGCACGCACGCACGCACGCACGCACGCACATATATATATATACGGATGATATTCTTTCTGCTGGCGGATCGCATGAGCTGATAGCAATCGCGAGTCGCCCCATCGCGTATTTGTTCGACTGCTCACGTATCCAGCCAGGCGATTATTCATCTCAATGGCGATAGATGTCGTGGTTTCAATTGAAACTTACAGTTCAATTGACTATGCGTCGCAGTTAGGAATCGCAGGAAGATCGTGTGTGTGTGTGTGTGTGTGTGTGTGTGTGTGTGTAGTGTGTGTTGTGTGTGTGTAGTGTGTTTGTATGTGTGTGTGATGTGTGTGTGTGTGGCTGTGCGTGTGCGTGCGTTCTGTGCGTCGCGCGCGCGCGTGCTGTGCGTGTGTTGTGGATGTGTGTGTGCTGGCTGTGTCGTGTTGTGTGTGTGTGTGTGTGTGTATGTGTTGTGTTGTCGTGTGTGTGTGTTGTGTGCTCTGATATGTGTGTGTTGTGTGCTACTGTGTGTGTGTTATATGTAGTGCTTGTGTATATGCTATGTGGTGTGTGTGTGTGAGTATGTATGTGTGTGTGTGGTGTGTGTGGGTTGTGGTGTGTTGAGCGCTCGTGCGCTCGCGTGACGTTGCTTGCGTGTGTGTATTTGCGCGGCCTATTGTATGCGCCTGCAATGCGTGCGTGTGTGGAGAAACGGACCCGGCGTGTGCACACCTCTTGCTGCATGTTAGGGCTTTGTTGTAAGGAAATCGGTGGCAATATCTTGGAGTACGTAACCATGGTAGATTTAATCGGATGTTTCGTGAATTCGCACCCCAATTGGATTAATATTCTCGAATAAAATCTCCCACTCACCCACCTATTATAAGATGCCTAATTCGATCACACCGCTGCGCCGCCCAAAAAATGCAACTTTTCCACTCGCATCCGATCTGTGCTTTGCTACCGCCGCACGTCTCAAGCTGCTTCACCACTTTCAATATTTACTTTATCCATGGATTCCGCCTCTCGCATCTCGATCTCTCTTCTCTCGCCCCTCTCTCTTATCACCCCTTCTCTTTCGCTTCGCCTCTTCGCTTGCTTCCTTTCCCTCCCTCTCTTCTCTCGCCGGCGCCGCTCGTCTCTCTCCTCTTACTCTCTTCCTCTTCTTCTCTCTCTCTCTCTTCCTCTCTCTCTTCTCTCTCTCTCTCATCTATCTTACTTCTATCTATCTATCTATCTATTCATATCTCTCTCTCTCTTCTCTCTCTCTATATATAGTACTATATATATTAAATATATATAATATATATATATAGATATCCTCCTCTCCCTCTACTCCTAACAGCCTCACTCGTGGTCACTCGTCCGTTCCAACACGCTTGCATCACCGGCTCACCTCTCCCTCCGTCGGAGCGGGGCGTGGACCCTCCTGTTACTCCACGAACGACGGCCTCTACTCTCTTGTTTCTCCATCGTCTGCCCGCATCGCCAAAACACTGGCTGCTGCGCAAGCGCCGCAGACGCCGCGCCAGCGCCAGCTATTTATAACGGCCGGCGGCGGCACGCTCACGCACGCACGCCACGCACGACGCAAGCACGCATCGGCGCCTGCTGATCGCCGGCGCCGTATGTTGTTGGGCTTGTGCTTCGCAGACATGAAACGCATGTTTGACGCCGGTACCAGCCTCTGCATCCGCCGACACCATCAAGCCCAGGTACTTCATGTGGAGCCTTCCCGACGTCTGCTGGGGGGCTGCATTTGACGGCAAGCGTGTGCAGACGTTGTTTTCGTGGGGCGATAGGCCTCAGGTTGGCTGCTGCGCGACCGGCCTCCGCGCGAGGACGCTTGTAATCGTTCGTTAATTTTTTTCTCGGCATTACGAGCACAGGCCAGGGCAGTCTATGCCGGATAGTAATCACCCGCCTCGGCGGTTACCAGCAAAAAAAATGTTATTTTAAATCACTATATATACGTTTAATATATTTTAATAATGACATATGGCGCCTCATGTCATTTTAGTTCAATACCTCAATTATTTTTATTTCTTCACGAACGCTTGCGCGACAATTTTTTTTTATGAACAGTACTTATTAATTTGCGTTATATTGCGTTGTTGTTGCCTGCCGACACGCGGCTTCTAATTCTGCTCCATTTACCCCCTTAAAAACAACAGCAACGCTGTGGCCATTGTGCACCGATAACGTGTAAACAGGTGACCGCAGTACCAATGGAAACTACGGCAATCTGTTATTATCATCCACTGAAACAGCCGGTTCCCAAAAAACCACTAGTGAAAAATTAACAAACTAAAAAGTTATATGGTTTCCATGGCCACACACAAAAAATACGGCCAGGTGATTTTGCATAAATACAGCTTTCTCTCCCAACAGATAACGTACGATTATAGTCGCCAGGCTTTCTCTTACTTAGAATTTAGCATTATTTAACACAGGCGATTATCTTGCAGGTCTTGAACAACCTCGTTAGGCCCGTCGTTGCATGGCTAATTGTGTACTTTTGGCGCACGGCAAGCGCTTCTATTTGCACGGTGGAGGACTATACTATCGCTGTACATGCAGGATCGTGACACACATGCACGCACCGGCCCGTACGCCACGCACAGGCACACACTACACACAACACACACACACACACACACACACACACACACACACACACACGCCCACGCCGCCTACAACGCAACGACACACAACGCACACACGCCACGCTACTACGCACGCCACCACAACACACACGGCACACGCCACACATTACACACCCACACACACCACAGCCCACCCACACACACACACCACACACAACACACACACACACACACACACACACACACGACACACACACACACACACATCACACACACACACTTACCCCCCCACCCCACCCCCTCAGCACCGCACACACCACCCCCTCTCTGATCTGCTGGCCTGTTCGGCTGCAGCATGTTCCTGAAGGAGCAGCGGCTTGAAGCCCGATGAGGCGGCGATGATGCTCATGCCGGATGAACATAGGGAGGCTGTTCCGCATCCTGCTGCAGGTCCTTTACGA